CCTCCCGAGGATAAGTACAGACGTCTCCGTACCGATCCGCGAGACTCTACTAGACTTGCTCATGACTCGTGAGACCCTAGGAACCTAGTGCTCTAATACCATGTTGTCACGACCCAGAATCCACTAAGGATCATGATGGCGCCGGACACCGCTGTCAGGCAAGCCAACTGAATAATCAATTAAATTCTCTTTTTAATTACCTTTGAAATATAGGACCTTTCCTTCCATTTTTCATAAATAAAAAGGCACTACTTCAATTCAAGTTAAAATAATAAATAATTAGTGCAAATCCTTCGAAAACTATCCTAGAACCCGGTGTCACAAGTGCATGAGCAACTATTGATAAGGAAAATAAAGTACAACATCTGTCCGAAATACATTGGACAGGGAATAAATACAAAATGCTGAAAGGAACTACACTAGCTGCGGGTCGCCTCGAATAATGCAGCTCACCTAGTCCCAGAATCATCCGTGCTGCTACGCCCAGTAGGCCACTAGAGTTACTTATACCTGTGCAACAAAAATGCATAGAAGTGTAGTATGAGTACGTAATCAACGTGTACCCAGCAAGTATCCCGTCTAATCTCGAAGAAGTAGAGATGAGATGGTTAACTTTGACACGTACTAGTGGTCCAATAATAATATGCTAAATGTACAAGGAAATCAGGGATTTTATATGGCAGTTCTATCTCACAAAGCCGAAAGACAGGCAAAACACCTTCAACAAATAATAAAGGATTTTAAAATTTTACTTTTCTTTATCTTATCAATTTACATCAAGCCATGAAAGGCAATATAATCATTTAAAATCTCTCATGCATCTATATATATATAAGTATCATGCGCAAATCATGCCGAGGCGACGGCCCGATCCAACAGAAATAAACTGTGCACTTGCCGAGGGTCGACGGCGCGCCTATAGATGCATCTATTACCCCGCTCGCGAAATAATCTGCGGCGCGGTCAACATAAAATAAACACATACCCTGCTCGCGAATCGTACATGCGACGCAGGTACACAAAGAGATACATGCTCAATCAATCAAGTAAGAACTTATCAGGGAATATTTATCAAAATATATCGAATTCTCTTTTAACAAATTTTAAGAAGTAAAGTTTAATCCCTTTAGAAATTCATTTACAAATTCCATGTGATTTAAGCAATTCAAGCTATCGTAGGGTTTACAAATAATCCAAGTATTCATGCTTTTGGGCCCTAGCTACCCGGACAATAGCATAATAGTAGCTACGAACGGACTCTCGTCACCTCGTGCGTACGTAGCCCCCGCAAGTAGGAGCACTTAATCAATTATATTCACCCATGTGGACAATTCCCTCTTACAAGGTTAGAAAGGAGAAGTGAACGCCCACATAGACCAAATCCAGGGCGTGCCACCAGTGCTGAAAGGCCCGCACTCGAAGAAGTCTACTCAGTTGCCATACAAGCCAAGTGCGGCACCAGAATTAATCCCGAAGTAGTTCAAAATACCTAAAGTGCCAAAGTATGACGGAACTTCAGACCCTCAGGATCATATTACCACCTACACAATGGCGGTAAAGGGAAATGATTTAGCTCCTCATGAAATTGAATCTGTGTTGCTAAAGAAATTTGGAGGAACTCTCACGAGGGGAGCCTTGACATGGTATTCACTGTTACCCGAGCATTTGAAATGCTCGCCGACTCTTTCATTAAGGCTCATGCCGGGGCTAGAAAAGTACATGCACGAAAGGCCGATATATTCAGGATTGTGCAAGGAGAGTCCGAGTTACTACAATAATTCGTTACCCGATTCGAGTAGGAAAGAATGTTGCTCCCGGCTGTCTGGATGAGTGGGCAGCTGAAGCATTCACCAAGGGATTGAATCCGAGAAGTTCAGACGCTTCCCGGAAACTGAAGGAAAGCCTTCTTGAGTTTTAAGCAACGACTTGGGCGGATGTCCACAACCGGTACGAGTCAAAAATAAGGATCGAGGATGATCAGGTTGGCTTTCCATCGTCGACCAAAGGACGGGAGAAGAATAGAGAAAAATCAAAAGATGATTACGACACGAATAGACAGACTTCAAGGGGTCGGTTTTGCCCTACGAGCGGACCGAAGGCCATGGCAAAGGCTTCCGGACAGCGGACAAGTTCGCCAGGGACAGGAGGACTGATCGTTGTTGGAACAATAGATCACTACAGGATAAGAAAAAGTCAGGGTCACGGGGTCCTTCTTACCCCAAGTTATCGGAATACAACTTTAACACCAGTATAGTGGAACTGGTGTCAACCATGAGAAATATCAAAGAGGCACGGTTCCTGAAACTAATGAGATCTGATCCTTGCCAGAAGGATCCCAACTTATGGTGTGAATACCATGGGAAGAATGATCACCGGACAAGGGACTACCGACACCTCCGAGAAGAAGTGACAACATTGTTGAAGAATGGTTACCTTAGAGAATTCTTAAGTAACCGAGCTAAGAACAATTATGGTCGTAACCAGGACAACGCGGAACCCTCGAAAGCTGGAGAAGATCCCTCACGCCAAATGATCAACATGATCTTCGGAGGGAATGAGATAAACGGGGTCACCTTCTAGGCACCAAAGAAGACTAAAGTGTCAATAACTCATAGTAAAAAGGCTCCGGGAAGACGATATCACTTTTACGGAGGAAGACGTAGACGGATTGCTGCTACCACACAAAGACTCTGGTAATTTCTTTAAATATGCTAGATTTTAAAATTAAACGTGTTCTAGTCGATCTAAGAAGTTCGGCTAATATCATATAATGCGGAGTATTGGAGCAAGTTAAACTCACTAGAAGCATTATTCCGGCCACGAAGCTCCTCACCGGATTCAACCTCGCAAGCGCGACAACCCGGGGAGAAATTTTATTATGCACGAATGCTGAAGGAGTAATGAAAACAACTCTTTCAAAGTGTAGATAGTGATATGAGATACAACATCATTCTGGGAAGACCCTGGTTGCACGAGATGAAAGCTGTACCATTAACATATCATCAATTGCTGAAGTTTCCAACCCCGAGGGAATTAAGCAGATAAGGGGCGATCAACCGGTGGCGAGGGAGATAAATGAAATTTCGGTCTCCAGTAGCAAAGGAAAGGAACACGCGGCATAGCAATTATAGGAACCGGCACCTACCCCCGTACTAAAAGAAGTTAGCCCGGGGATAGAGGCGTCGGAATATTATCAGGTGCCGAGATATTTCCAAGTTCCAGAAGAGATGGATGCAATGAAATCCATGGCAGAAGAACTGGAGCAAGTTGCATTGTGTGAAGAACTCCTAGAAAGGAAATTTCACTTGGGGACGGGACTGCACCCGTAGCTCAGGTCTGATTTTATTGAATTCCTTAAATTTAATGCCGATTATTTTGCATGGTCGCACGAGGATATAACAGGCATCCCGACGGAGGTAGCCATACACAAGTTAAGCTTGGATCCCAACATACCTCTGGTAAGACAAAAGAAACTTTGGAAAGCAAGCAAGAAAAAGCTTTCCTATAGTCTTTGACTAGAGCCCGATGCCCATAGGAGTTGATTCACATGGATGTGTGCAGACCAATCAAGCCATCTTCACTTGGTAATAATAATTATTTTTTACTTTTCATTGATGATTTTTCTAGAAAAACTTGGGTGTATCTTTTGAAGCTGAAATCGGAGGTATTTGATACTTTCAAAAATTCAAGATCATGGTGGAGAAATAAAGTGGCTATCAAATTAAGTCATTGTAGTCCGATAATGGTGGAGAATTCACTTCAAATGAATGCAAGGTTTTTTGTGAAAATAGTGGAATTCGGCCCTTTTTTGACTGTTCCAAGATCACCACAACAAAATGGCATCGTGGAAAGAAAGAACTAGACTATTCTCAACATGGCACGGAGTATGTTGAAGAGCAAAAATATGCTAAAGGAGTTTCGAGCTGAAGTAGTTGCTTGTACAGTGTATTTGTCAAATTGGTATCACACCAAGAGTATTCGTGACAAAACACCTCAAGAGGCTCGGACTGGTTTCAAGTAAAAGTTGCTCATTTGCGAGTTTTTGGGAGCATTGCCTATGCACATATGCCGGATAAGAAGAGGTCCAAGCTTGATGATAAAAGTGAAAGATGTGTTTTCATTGGCTATGATCAAATTTCTAAAGGTTAGAAATTATATAGCCCAAAGAATGGCAAGGTCACCTTAAGTAGAGATGTTGAGTTTGATGAAGATAATACTTGGGAATGGAAAACTAAAGAGCAAGATTACTCTTTTAGTCCTTTATTTGATGAAGAAGATGATGAAAAAGTTGCGGAGCAGCCTATCACACCACCTTCAACACCTCCAGCACAAGTTCAAGAAGAAGATGTATCAAATTCAAGTTCTTCAAGTGAAGTGCCTTAGAAAACTAAAAGTCTTCACGAGTTGTATGAAAATACCGAAGTGGTAAGAAAAGATTTATATGATTTGACTCACTTTTGTTTGTTGGTGGATAGTGAGCCTTTAACTTATGAAGATGCTGCCCACAATACCAAATGGAGAGATTTCATGGATGAAGAAATCAAGGCAATCAAGAAAAATGATACTTGCGAATTAGCCATACTTCCAAAAGGCAAAAGCACTATTGGTGTAAAATGGGTGTACAAGTTGAAGAAAAATTTCAAGGGTAAGGTAGAAAGGTACAAAGCAAGATTGGTTGCCAAGGGATACAAGAAAAAGGCCCGTATTGACTATGATGAGGTATTTGCACTGATCGCTCGTTTGGAAACAATTCGTTTTACTATTTCTTTGGCAGCTCAAAATCAATGAAAAATTCATCAAATGGATGTGAAGTCGGCTTTCTTGAATGGTGTTTGGAGGAAGAGGTCTTCATTGATCAACCTTTGGGCTAGAAGGTTGAAGGACATGAAAGTAAAGTTATGGAGCTTGAGCATGTGAAGTCACAAGACCAAATTGCGGATATTTTCACCAAGCCGTTGAAGATTATGCTTTTTCAAAAGCTAAGGGAGGCTCTTGGAGCGATGAAACAAGTTTGGGTTGGGGGAGGGGGGGAGGGGGGGGGATGTATGTTGAAATGTGAAAACAATATAAACTTGTTTTCATTTGTTTACATTTGTCTACATTAGTTCATGAACTAGATTATTAATTTAGTACATGTATTAGAGTATGAACACATTGATGTACTTTGGAAGATACAATGTCTAATAGTGTCATCCATATACCTTGAAAGATGTGAAGTGTAGACTTAGTTATTATGTTTACATGTAGTATAGGCTAGATACATGAAAGATTTCTCCTATAAATAGTCTTGTATTCCTAGCCATTTGGAGCAAGTCAAGTTGAATAGAAATCATTCTTTCCTCCATTTCCTTCTTTGTGAGTTTTGATTGTTCTTTTGTGTTGTCTTGCTCTACCAAATTCTCTAACACCGGGAAGGGTTTATATTTATAGTGAGGTTTTAAAGTTTTAGGGTTTTGAAAGAAAATTAGGAGAATGAGATGTGCCCTAGTGTAACGGGGAATCTGAGAGATCTTTTTAATGGTGCTAGAAGATTAATTAGTTACATTATTTCTATATTTGTTACAATATTTTAAGAAAGATTACGAAAGGTAGTGAACTAAGTAATAAATTAAATAGTAGTAATAATAAGAAAGAGTCCAATATTTTAACCTAATTCCATTTATTGATCTATTCTGACACCAAAAGTGCTTACTTTTGGCAAACTTAAAAGGTTCAAAACTGCTAAAGAGTATATCTAATGGCTGATTTTAGATCTACTTCAAAAAATAAAGGGACCATTTATGTCATATTTCGGGAATTTTATAGCCGTTGTTAGACATAATATTATTGAAATTTGAGAAGAACATTTAAGTTTAAGTTGAAAAATGGTAATCGAAGGTTACTATGTTTGCACATGAATTTGAGAGGGACCTGTTGAAAATCTTTAGTGATATAAAAGTCAAGAAAATCAACTAGTTATGTTAGAATGTCCTAAATTTATTCTATGTTTAGGTTGATACCTGACAGTATAAAAAATAATTAATTTTCCTGATTTTGTCTTGATTAAGAATCTTGATAATGAGATAATGCGCCTTATTTAGAACTTCTTTTATTCAAGGTCGAATTTATGGTTTATGGTATGGGATCCGCGGAATTCAATAATTTTTGCCAAATTCTCCAAAAAGTTAGCATTCAAAACTTATAAACTTTAAATCATGGATCTGATTTTGCTGTAATTTCATAACTACTCCATTGGACTTATGAAATTAAACATAATATGTTTGATTATCGTTTTTCATTTAAACACCTAATTATGGATCGATCTTTTGAACACAAATTTAACAATTCTAAACAGGCTAATGCACATCAATCTCATTTGCTGTTGACATTAAAAATACAGTTAACGAGAAAAACACAATCAAATAAATAAAGTCAAAATCTTCGAAAGAAAAAAAAAAGTAGTGGAGGGGTCAAGAAATTAATCTCAACAGGTTAATTGTAACAAATTAAAGTGTTTATACGAATAAAAGACATATGTTCTATCTTCATTGATTTGGCATAAATATCAAGCAAGAAAATACTCACACAAGACTAAAGTAAGAGCTAAATAAGCACCAACAAATAATAATAATAATAACAAACACCACAACAAAAACAAAAACAAAATTGTTCATTTGTCATTTCAAACATATTACTAGTAAAACATTCTAAAAGCATAGAGACCTTTTATGTGTTGCTCCTCGTTCCAGTAATATCCTATGGGTGAGATCAAGCTTTCCACATAAGTAACGGCTGATATATCTTCTTGGTGTTTGAGCTCACGAATGTCTTGCATACTATCATTCTTAGGATCGTACGCAACAACACCATCATAGCGTACTATCAATGCTAATTTTCCATTATTCGACATGAAAAGAGACTGATAAAATACGTAGGGACGCGTTATTTCTGAATTCCTTATGACAAAGGACGATGTCCATGAATCCTTCCTTCCGTACTCTTTCATGACCAGTATCTCAAGACTCTTATCAAATTCTACGCAAGTCGTACATAGACAATCATTTAAAACTCCTAAACCAACTATAGCGTTATCTCTTTTGTATAACGAGTGGAACTTCTCTCTGAGATGGCGTCAAAACAAATTACCTCTTTACGAGGACCAAAAAGTAGATGGTTTTGCCACTTTGATTCACCACTTTCTTCACCATCCATTGGTTCATTATCATTATCGGGATTCCAACGTAAATGCTCATCCTTATATCTTCCGACTAAATTCTCGTGCATGTCAAAGGTAGTCATTGTCAAGATTTGCCCTAGAGTGAAGCCGCCCATGCATTGTGATCCCATCACGGGCCGAGAACATATCACAGGGGCAATCGATGCGTCTCCACTTTTTGTCTTTAAGACTTGCAACCAAAGCATAAGCACCATCAGTATCATAGACGGACTTATTGTATACGTAGAAAAGTACCTTGTATTCATTCTTGGAAGAGTCAAAACAAAGTCCCCCAGCACTTATAACATGTTCATCGCTTGTCAATAGGTGGAGTTCAATCACTTGTTGCAAAATCGAGTAGCAGGATTCCACAAGAAAATATATGCTTGTTTGCGCTTATGAATACGAGACCATCACAAGAACCCAACAATCTTAGATATGGCTTTGAATACTTATCCTTGTAAATACGGCTTTCCGATAAAGGATTCTCAAGAGTCTGGAAGTTGAACTTGTCATCCTCCTTTGGATTTATCAAGTTAAAGGAGCCTCCATATTCATTGAAAATCGCTATTGAGCTTCTTCGTCGTTGTTTTGAGAGATCCGATTCGGGGTGTGAAATCCAAGATTGCCATTGCTTAGAAACAATCTTGAATCTTAAGAGGGATCTCACTGGTAATTTTGCTAGAATATCATAATAGTGAATGATAATTTAGTATTTAAGAATGTGTTTTTATATTTTGGTACATAAATTTTGTAGAAGATATATTTAACTAAAAGGTAATGGATATACTATTGGATACCTAGAGAATCAAACATAATTTTTCACAAAAAATCTTTTTAGTTTATTTGTACTTTTACTAAGATAATTTAATTGTATTGAATTCATTTGTTTTAAATTTATGATTGGCTATAAATTGTTTAACAAACAATAATAAAATCAAAGGCGTGTCCTTAAAATATTAGTTAATTTTAGGGGAAAATTTCACATTAAAACAAGTGGGCTGCCTCCTTTTCAACTTTATAGCCCATATTTAACTTTACAATTGAGTAGCCCACAAATTAGAGGCCCATATCTGAAAAGGGGGCGTTATTTCCGGTATTTTGAGACTACCAAACGCGATTTTCTCTCATTCAGCTGGATTTTCTCAGATTCTTTCCAATCTTCTTCCCCCAAATACTTCAAAAACGAGATCCTGCGATAAATGCAGGTACGAAAACCCTAGCATTTCTTCTTCATCTAGAATTTATTCAATTTTTTTGCTACGAAGCAGCGCAATTCTCCTTTTTGCTGCAATTTTGATTTCAATTTTTTGTTAGATGGAGATTTTTCCTGTTTACCTTCTTCATAGTGGTGAATGGGAAGAAAACAAGTTTGTAAATTTCGTCAGTGATTGTGTAATAATCGAGTCCACATTCAACTACAACAATTTAGTTGCAGCTATTTCGGAACAGATTAGGATCGATAGTGATTTAAACACAATAGAGATTAACTTTGTCCCAAATGTTGGTTTGCCACCGATCATGATTTACAACGATACAGGAGTTAAGGTGTATATAGAATTAAAGAAGAAAAACTTGAATTTCACTGAATATCCCCTGTTTGTGACAGTGAAAGAGATTTATGAAAATCATTTGGTTGTTACAAGTTCTGTGGTTGCTTCAAGTTCCAGTTGTTTGGTTGCTACAAATTCAAATTCTAGAGATGTATCAACAACTGATAGCACTGAGATTATTGATATTGAATTGATTGAAAACATGAAATTTAGTGAAAACACGGGTATAATAGATAATATGTTGAACGAATTTGTTGAGGAGGATCAAATTTATAAGGATAAAGAGACACTTATGAATGTGATGAAGAACTTGGCTGTACGCGAGAGGTTCCAATTTAAGGTAAAGAGATCAAGCGCAACAAGGTATGTCATTAATTGTATATTCTGTTGTATAAATATGTATAAAGTAGTATATATTTGTATATAGGTATTAAAATTAGTATATATGTAGTTTGTATACAAGTGTATTTAGAAGTTGAATGATGTATAATACTAGGTATCACCTTACATGTCTGGATGACAATTGTGCTTGGAGTTTCAAATCTTCTGCCGTTTTCAAGGCAAACATATTCAAAGTGAGAAGTTACAATAATAATCACACATGCGGCTATGGTGAAAGATACTTAACACAACGTCAAGCTACTTCGGGTATAATTGCTAGTATAGTCAAGGACAAGTATGTTAATCCAAAAAAAGTTTACACCGCAAATGATATAATAGAGGACATACAAAAGCAACACGGGATTGAAGTGAGCTACATGAAAGCATGGAGAGCTAAAGAAATAGCAATGGCAATGATAAGAGGGAGTCCGAGTGATTCATATAAGGAGTTGCCGAAGTATTTTTATATGTTGGAGCAAACAAATCCAGGAACGGTTACAAAGTTGCACAAATCAGAAGATGGATGCTTTCTTTATGCATATGTTTCGCTATATGCATCTATCAAGGGCTGGGAGCATTGCAGACCGATAATGGTTGTTGACGGAAGCTTCCTTAAAGCAGCATATAAGGGTACCATATTGACTGCTTGCACACAAGAT